AAGGTTTAAGGTTTAAGGTTTAAGGCTTAGGGCTTAAGGTTTAGGGTTTAGGGCTCAAGGCTTAGGTTCAAGGTTTAAGGAATGTGGGAGTGGATGCCCGTAGAATGTCCCACCTTCTCCTCTGCTACACTACCTATATCCGCCAAAAGGAAAGAGTAGGGGAATTCCGCTGCCATAGAGCAAGGAAACCCAGTAAAGAACCCCGTACGCTACACAATCCCCATTCCAAGGGACCCTGAAAAGGGAGTTGTGTGTCGCTAAGATACGCAACCTAAGTAGCGGTTACACAAAAAGATTATTGGCAATTGTTCATCTACATTGTATGGTGGGAACTCATCTGTCCAGGCAACGTTGAAAGCGCCAAGCCCGTAGATGTGCATTCGCTGCGGGATCATTTGGTCAGTCAACTCCTTTCAGCCGACATAGGGACACTACGCTGGTTTGGGGTCTGGGTCTGGCTAGGAGTGGAGGTAACAGTTCTACGAACCTCCTAAGGAATTCCTGAAACGTGCCCTATAAAGACGGCAGCCCATGTAGACCACGCCTATATCTAGGCTTCGTATTTCTTGCATTTACAAATTCTAGGCTTCATAACACTACTTCGAGGTATTCAGGAAAAGGCTTGAAAGCAATGGGCCGTTGCTCCTAATTGTAGACAAACATAACCCTAGGCCCTAGAGGGCGAATAATGCGCCTCCCTCATTTACTCACATATTACCAAAAAACACTGTTCAGGATTTAGGGACCCTTCCTTCTTGATGGCAACCCCATCGCCCTAAACCCTTCCCTAGAAACCCCAAATCCCCCCAAACCACTCCCAAACCCCCCCTCGAAAACCCAAACCCTAAATTCCGAAAAACCTCCCTAAACCCTCCCTTAACCCCCATTATCCCCCAAACCCCCCAAAACCCTATGACCACCAGGCCTTGGGAGCCACGCTACTTGGGGGACCCCAAATCTCCCACGCCAGGTCCTCTGGGCGTTGCATGGAACAAGGGGGTTGGATAAGGTTAGGGATTTGGGGTATAGGATTTANNGAATTGGGGCTTAGGGTTTAAGGTTTGGGGAGTTTAAGGGGGCTCAGGATTTAGGATTTCAAGCAGAATGCGGAGGTAAGGTTTTGTGGTTGGGGAATTTGGTTTGTGGCATAAGTTTTGGGGTATAGCCCTTGGGGTTTCATGTATGGGGCTTAGGGTTTAGGGCCCACGCCTGAGGGGAAAGGTTTTGTTTGGTTTGCATGCTGATTGCCTGCCTCGATGTCTGCTTCTGCATTCAACAGTCGAACCACATTTTCTTCTGCTGAAGTAAAACCCCAAAAAATCATCTCACTCTAGAATAGAAGCCTAGTACCTGATTGAAATATTACTCACATGAGCCATAGTCTAAACTCCTAGTATCCCCCTTAATAACCCCTATAGTAGTTCCCTATATAATCCCCTATATATCCCCCCTTTAAGGAGTTTAGACTATAGTTCACATGATCCAGCAACGAACAAACTATCGCCGTGCCACGCTGGACCGTCTCAAAATTCATTTTAGCCGATGATTAAAACAGGCTGATAATAAGCAAGACTTGAAACAAAAGCTTATGCACAAGAAATGTCCTGCGGCCCCATATGCTACATACATTTATATCTATATACATGCATATATATGTATATTTATTTATTTATACACATACGTATATCTCTCTCTCTCCGACAAAATACCTGCCTAGCCCAAACGACTATGTACCCCAAATCTCAAGTTGACGGGCTCCAGTCAAGGTTTTTATGGCAATTCCTTGTACCAAGACCCCCCCATATGCTCGGAAGCTCCCAAAAGTCTATAACCACCCTTGGGTAGATAGAATATGGCTTTGGGTATATGGTATTAAGACTCCCATATACCCATATTCTCTCTACTCAAGGGGGACTATATGTGTAGATCACTGTTGGCATGGCGGTCCGCGATCTGCGCCGAGGTGGCTACAACGTTGCCTGGGCACTTCATCTGAGGATACATCAACACATGACTAATTGTCTGAACTCCTAGTATCCCCCTTAATAACCCAAATACTACTCCCCTACATAATCCCCTATATCACCCCCTTAAGGAATTTAGACTATGGCTCACATAACACCACCGAGCTTACCAAAAAGTCCCTGTAGCGGAACGGACGTCCTGCAGGGGTTGAAGGTAAAGTGTGCTTCTTACTGGGAAACTATATCCTACTTCCAAAAAGGAATCACACGGATGGTTCACGAATTCATGGCAAACCCTAAAAACTGACCCTAAACCCTAGCCCGAATCCCTAGCCCGAAACTCTAAACCCTAAATCCTTTGCGAGATTGATGGTCTCAATCTGCGCTCTTTGGACAGCTTGGAACCATTGGCTACAGTCCCCGTCAAGTAGATAGAATACAGCGTTTGGGTTCGTTTAGAACTTATTGTCCCCCTTAAGTAGGTAGAGTTCAGGGTTTACGGTTTAGGGTTTACAGCCACCGCGTTAGTAAATAGAATATGGCATGCATGGGAATCTTGTTATGGCTTGGGCATTTCCATATTCCATCTACGTAAAGGGGGACTGTAGGTTTTATAGGGGTATACAGAGTTAGGGGTCTAACAGTATACCTGGGGAATCCAATGGGTAGTTTGCAAAATTAGGGTCCCATTTTGGAAACCCTAAATATTACATGTCGTAATAGAACCTATAACCAAACGGGGCTCATAATTTTGAGAACAATTCAAATGGAAAAGAAATTGCAACATGAAATTGAAAGTGGGCTTCTGGAATCCCACCCCCGACTAGGGAGTTCATCGAACAGCTTTTTTTGGGGGGGTGCTTCAGACATGGAAGAGTATATTCCGACTATAAGACCCCTGGCCAACAAGAGGATATGAGCTATAGTCTAAACTCCTAGTATTCCCCTTAATAACCCCTATAGTAGTCCCCTATATAATCCACTATATAACCCTCCTTTAAGGAGTTCAGACTACAGCTCATCTTGATCTGTAGCGATGACTATAGGATCCCCATCCAAAGCACTAATTACTATGACCTATTGCTATTACTACTGCTATGACTATTACTATTACTATTACTATTACTGTTACTGTTACTGTTACTGTTACTGTTACGATGATAATTACCAGTACTGAGTCTATCTTGGTTTTTTGCCTGTTGCCAGCACTTCAGGGCCTGTAGGGCCTGCTAGTGGGATTGTCGGGGCCCAAAGATTACTTGATCACCTCTGTAAGCACATCTTCCCTACAACCTCCCACCAAGTGGCAGGGTGGTCCCCCTAAACCCTAAACCCTAAACCCCTGAACACTAGGTGCCCTACATGGCATACCTGCACCTCGACAACACACCTGGATTTACCATCTGGAGCCGAGGCCCGAAAATACCTTAGGTGGACCCCCACCCTGTAATAGTGGCATAATGGGAATGAATATAAGAGGACCCTACTATAATCACCATAATCCCTTATAGTCACCATTACTGGGTGGGAGGTCCACCTAAAAAATACCTTAAGTGCTACACCCTGTTTTCATGAGGTGCTCAGCTCTGACCTCACTGTTGCCTCACCCTGTGACATAACCCCTGAACACCACAAAACCTCTACACCCACCCCTAAACCCTTAACAGGGCTCATGTTGCTGGCAGTCCAGCCCGCAAAGACGCCGTCGACTTCCCAGTTGTTGTGATTGCTCAGATTCCCTGGACAGCAGGCCGCTTGAGGCTGTGCTGGTTTCTGATTGGGATAGTTACCATCATATCCAACCTCTATACCCATTTATCGGGGCTTAGTAATCTGAGACATCCAAGAAATCTGTCCAACGCCCAGTGCAGGAGCACTGGCTGAGAGTAGCGGCATAGGAAAGAAGAACCATACAAGCACGAAAAAATAAACTATGAGAAGCAGCAGCAGCCAGCATCAGCAGCAGTACCATTACTTGGTTAGCAGTCATAGTAGGTAGTGTTTCTGGCGCCACCACCACCACCACAATGACACCAACGTCGCGCTGCAGCTACAGCAGCCATCAGACATGGTTTGTAATGTTGCAAGTGCCCAGAAGACCGAAGTACTCGGGTAAGCTTTTTGCAGGTGTGGAGTTCAGAGTTTTGGAACTTGAGGGCTTCGAAGATTGACCGCGGTTGGTGCCATGGTTCGGGATTGAGAGTTTGGCAGTCTAAGGGCTTTACTTGTAGTATGCTTCAGGGCTCCTCTACTGCGAAAAAAAAAAAAAAAAAAAAAA